GGGGGGGGAAGAAGGTGAGTCACTATTGGAGGCACCCAAGTGGAAGAGAAGATGGGGTGGGGAGGTGGACATGCCCCGAGGAGGTCAGGGAGGGACCAAGGAGCCACCAGGCTCATGGCGGGGACATCTGTCATCAGTTTGTTGTCATCTCCAGCCATGAGGTATCTCCTCTGGGACCAGGGAGCTGCGTCCTGGAGCCACCAGCCTCATGGGGGATATCAATCACCAGGTCATCTTCATCATCATACACATTACGTCTCCTTTGGGACACTGTCCTGGAGCCACCAGCCTCATGGGGGACATCAATCACCAGTTCATCTTCATCCCTATCCATGTTACATCTCCTTTGGGTCCTGGAGCCACGAGGCTCATGGTGGTCATTGATCATCAGCTTTAATTCGCCACCAGCCACGTTGCATCTCCTCTGGGACCAGGGAGCTGCATCCTGGAGCCACCAGCCTCACGGGGGAAATCAATCACCAGTTCATCTTCATCACCATACACGTTACATCTCCTTTGGGACACTGTCCTGGAGCCACCAGCCTCATGGGGGATATCAATCACCAGGTCATCTTCATCATCATACACATTACGTCTCCTTTGGGACACTGTCCTGGAGCCACCAGCCTCATGGGGGACATCAATCACCAGTTCATCTTCATCCCTATCCATGTTACATCTCCTTTGGGTCCTGGAGCCACGAGGCTCATGGTGGTCATTGATCATCAGCTTTAATTCGCCACCAGCCACGTTGCATCTCCTCTGGGACCAGGGAGCTGCATCCTGGAGCCACCAGCCTCACGGGGGAAATCAATCACCAGTTCATCTTCATCACCATACACGTTACATCTCCTTTGGGACACTGTCCTGGAGCCACCAGGCTCATGGTGATTGATCATCAGCTTTAATTCGTCATCAGCCACGTTGCATCTCCTCTGGGACTAGGGAGCTGCATCCTGGAGCCACCAGGCTCTTGGGGGAAATCAATCATCCCTCCTCATCCATGTTGCATCTCCTCTGGGTTCCTTGGTCCATCCCCAGCAGCTGGCACCAGAAATCGGGGACAGCCACCAGCTCCCACCTCACCCACCCAACCTCAACTGTTCTCCACAGTGGTCACCCATCCCTACCTCTCCTACCAGGATGAAGCCCTACCAACCTTCCTCCTCCCCGCCCCACCACCAAACCCCATCACTTGTCCCTGGTGGCCGCCCGGGCGTGGATCCGTGTGTGGCGGGCGAGGGAGGACTTGTTGCTGAAGCTCTTGCCGCAGTGGGGACAGGGGAAAGGTCTCTCCCCCGTGTGCGAGCGCTGGTGGACCGTCAGGTCAGCCAAGTACTTGAAGCTCTTGCCGCAGGCGCCGCAGGGGTAGGGCCGCTCCTCGGTGTGGCTGCGCCGGTGCATGGTGAGGTTGGACTGCTGGCTGAAGCGTTTGCCGCAGGCGGGACAGGGGTAGGGCCTCTCCCCCGTGTGCGAGCGTTGGTGCTTGTTGAGGTCTGAGGGGTTGGTGAAGGTCTTGCCGCAGGAGCCGCAGGCGTAGGGCCGCTCGCCCGTGTGGAGCCGCTGGTGGGTGGTGAGGGTGGAGAGGTGGCCGAAGCTCTTGCCGCAGGAGCCGCAGGCGTAGGGCCGCTCGCCCGTGTGGAGCCGCTGGTGGGTGGTGAGGGTGGAGAGGTGGCCGAAGCTCTTGCCGCAAGCCCCGCAGGCGTAGGGCTTCACCCCCGTGTGGGTCCTCTGGTGGGTCTTCAGGTGGGTCAACCGGCCGAAGCTCTTGCCGCACTCACTGCAGGGGTACGGACGGTCCTTCCCTGGTGCCGACAGCTCCCGTTTCACCCAGGGCTTCTCCAGGTTCTTGGTGTCCTCCATCGGGCCGGGCAGAGCCTGGGTGAGGGGCTGTGGGACAGTGGTGGCATCCCGTGGGATGTGTCGTCGGTGGGTCCCTCTCCGGGCAGGGGTCCTGGCCATTGGGACACTCTGGAGAGTCCTGGGTGGGCATGGGGGGTCCTGCTGTTGCAAAATGGACGCCTCTGGGTCTCTGCTCACCATGGTGGGACCTGCTTGGGGGGGAGGAGAAGATGCGTCACGAGTTGGTTCTCAATGGAAGACACAACCCTTGTTTTCAGAGCTCAACACCCTCCACCTCCTCCAGCGAAGGCAGAGATGGTCCAGCTCCCAGCATTGAGTGAAACCCCAAATCCACCCATGGATGGCCACCAGGCCATGCTGGGACAGGGATGAAGATGAGGCCACCTCAGCAGAGTGGCCCAGCTGGTCCAACAGGAAAGGACAGCTGCATGAGGACTTGGAGAGGAGCCCACCACACTCCAACCATCACCCTCCAAACACCAGAACTCCTTCAAGCAGCGTTTCCATTGTCATGAAGGAGCTGATGTTGGAGGAAGGGAGTAAGATTTTGGGGCTCATGGTTTCCAGAAGACAAATGGGGAGGACAAGAGCTCTCTATAGATACTCTTGACCTTTGCTCCAAGATCCTCATCCTTGTCCAGCTTCTCTGCAACTCAGAAGATGGCTGTCCACCAGCTCCCCCCACTGAAGTGGACAACTCGTGTCTCCCAGCCCTTCTTCTTGCTTCACATGGGCTTTAGAGCCCAAGAAGCCCTTTCTTCTCACACCCCAACGGGGCTCAAGGTCCACGGTGCCACCACCGCAGGAGTCTCCATCTGGCTCCTTCTTGGGGTCACATCTTTCTTCTTTCTCAATAACCCAAGAGTTTCCCCAGTGCCAGAACATCATTTTTGGTTCTTTTCCCCGCTTGGTTCTCACTCATCCTCCACCAAGAGTGAAACCCCCACCTTTTGGGTGCCACCATTGGAACAGTGACACCACAGGAGGACCAGATGGGGCCAAGCCCATGGTAGGAGACACCCCACCACCTCCAAGCTCCCCCAGCTCCTGCAGCAGCTTCGTCACCCCCGTTTTTTTGGAGGGGGTGGTGAAGGATCTCCTTCCTTCAACACAATACCCGGTTCCTGCAGGTGTCGCTCCTCTTCCTCGGGGACAACCTTCGTCTTGCCCCGGGCCACCTCCTCCTGCCAGCCAGCCCCGGGGGGCAGCTGGGGGGACTCCAAGGGAGGGTTCAGTGGGTCCCCCACCACTTCAGGGGCCTCAGTGTCCCCCAGGGCCACCTCCTCCACCTTCACCCGAACCGTCACCTGTGGGACCCATGGAAAAAGCAGGGGAGTAGGGTGCCTGGGAAGCCCAAGATCTGGGTGGGTGGGATGACTTGGGTGCCCGGGACCCCCAGGAGCTGGGGGGGGAATGGTTGGGTGTTGGGACCCCCAGGGGCTGTAAGGGGGGGAAATTCAGTGCCCAGAACCCCCAGGGCTTATAAGGGGGGGGATGCTTGGGTGCCTAGGACCCCCAAGGGCTATAAGGGCCGGGGGTTGGGGGGTGGGACCCCCAGGGGCTATAAGGGGCCGGGGGTTGGGTGCTGGGACCCCCAGGGGCTATAAGGGGGGGCCATTTGGGTGCTGGGACCCCCAGGGGCTATAAGGGGCTGGGGGTTGGGTGCTGGGCTGTAAGGGGGGGGGATGGTTGGGTGCATGAGACCCCAAGGGGTTATAAGAAGGGGGAATGGTTGGGTGCTGGGAGCCCCAATAGCTGTAAGAGGGGAGAATTGGGTGCCCAGGACCCCCATGGGCTATAAGGGGGGGCAGTTGGGTGCTGGGACCCCCAGTGGCTGTAAAGAGGGGGGGGGAACAGGGTACCAGAGACCCCCAAGGGCTATAAGGGGGGACAGTTAGGTGCTAGGACACCCAGAGGCTGTAAGAGGGGGAAACTGGGTGTTGAGACCCCCAGGGGCTCTAAGGGGGGGCATTTGGGTGCTGGGACCCCCAGGCGCTGCAAGAGGGGGAAATTGGGTGCCCAGGACCCCCAGGACTATAAGGGGGGATGGTTTGGTGCTGGGACCCCCAGGGGCTATAAGGGGCTGGGAGTTGGGTGATGGGACCCCCAAGGGCTATAAGGGACCAGGGGTTGGGTGGTAGGACCCCCAGGGGCTATAAGGGGCCGGGGGTTGGGTGGTGGGACCCCCAGGGGCTATAAGGGGGGGAGGAACTGGGTTCCTGAACCCCCTAGGTGTTATAAGGGGGGGCGGTTGGGTGCTGAGACCCTCAGGGGTTGCAAGAGGGGGGGAAGTTGGGTTCCTGAGACCCCCCAGGGCTGTAAGTAGGGAAGGGAATTGGGTGCTTGGGGGGGTCCGTGTTGTCCCCCCCCCCTCACCTGCTGCTCCCACACCTCCTCGCCTTCCTCCCCGCCTCCCAGCTGGAACCTCTCGGCCAAGGCCACCGCTTGGGCGCAGGACTGGGGGTGTCGCACCCAGACCCAGCTCTGGATCTCCTCGGGGAGGATGCTGAGGAACTGCTCCAGCACCAGCAGCTCCATGATCTGCTCCTTGCTCCTCACCTCGGGGCGCAGCCACCCCCGCGACAGCTCCCGCAGCCGCCGCCACACGTCCCGCGGCCCCGACGCCTCCTGGTACCGGAACTGACGGAACCGCAACCGCCGCAGCTCCGTACCCGCGCCCCCGCCGTGGCACGGAGGCACCCACCGGCGGCCCCGGGGACAACGGGGTGGCTCCGTCACCCCCTCCCAGGACCTCTCGGCCGAGGGACGGCAATGGCCCCGCTCCGAGGACATTGGGGACCCCTTGGTGGCATCCTGCTGGGGGCAAAGGTCTTGGCCCTGCTCTGAGGACATCGGGGACGTGTCCTCCTGTGGGGGAAGGGCCCGGGGAAGGCGGGGACCCTGCTCCAAGGATATTGGGGACCCCTCTGTGTCCTCCTTCTGTAGGCGAAGGGCTGGAGGACGGTGGCAGCCACACTCTGAGGACACTGGAGATGTGTCCTCCTGCGGGCGAAGGGCTGGGGGACGGCGGTGGCCACGCTCTGAGGACCCCTCTGTGTCCCCCTCCTGTGGGCAAAGGGCCAGGGGAAGGTGGGGACCCTGCTCCGAGGACATTAGGGACCCCTTGGTGTCATCCTGCTGGGGGCGAAGGGCTTGGGGATGGTGGTGGCCACGCTCCAAGGACAGGGTGGACCTCTTTGTGTCCTCCTCCTTTGGGCTAAAGGCTGGGGGACAGTGGTGGCCACGCTCCGAGGCCATCAGGGACTTCTCTGACTCCTGCTGGTGGCGAGGGGCCGGGCTCTGCAGGGAGGGGGGACAGAAGGACACAGCTTTGTCAAAGACCCCCCCCTTGCAGCCCACCCCCAACTTAAACCCCCCAGGACCATGTAATGTGTCCCCC